GGACACTGTGGGACCCCTGACACTCTGGACCCCGGGAGAGGGGGAGGGACACTTCGTGGGACACCCGGGGACACTGTGGGACCCCCGGGTAGGGGAGGGATCCCTAGGACCCCCGGGATAGGGGGAGGGACACTCGTGGGACCCCCGGGGTAGGGGAGGGACCCCCGTGGGAGCGCAGTGGGGGGGTCGGAGCAGCGCGGGGGTCTCTCCACGCCCCTCTGTGACCCCTCCCCCCACGCAGGCGGGGGTCGCGCGGGGGTCCCGGCATGGCCCGCGGGTATTTCCAGCACGGGGGGGTGACGTTCCCGGGGCTCCTCTACTCCCCCCGCGGGCTCCAAAACGCGCGGGACTTCCTCGTGGAGGACGACGACGTCTTCAACGTCACCTACCAGAAATCGGGTGCGGGGGGACCCCAAAACACCCCAAAAATGGGGGAAAACACCCCAAAAATGGGGGAAAACACCCTAAAAATGGGGGGGAGGAGACTTCAACGTCACCTACCAGAAATCGGGTGCGGGGGGACCCCAAAATACACCAAAAATGGGGGAAAACACCCTAAAAATGGGGGAGACTCAACGTCACCTACCAGAAATCGGGCGGGGGACCCCAAAAACACCCCAAAAATGGGAAAGAAATACCCCAAAAATGGGTGGGGGGGACTTCAACGTCACCTACCAGAAATCGGGTGCGGGGGGGGCCAAAAACACCCCAAAAATGAGGGGGTACCCAAAACTGGAGGGTAGGGAGGGTAAAAGGAACCCCAAACCACCCCAGGGACCCCCAAAGAGCCCCAAAAGGAATGCAGGGACCCCCCCCAATGACCCCAAACCCCCCCCAGGCACGGTGTGGATGCTGGAGATCCTGAGCCTGATCCTAAAGGATGGCGACCCCAAAGGGACCCCAAACAGCCCCAGTGATCCCCCAAACCCCACAGGGACCCCATAATGACCCCAAATCCCCCCAAACCCCCTCAGGCACGGTGTGGATGCCAGAGAATCCTGAGCCTGATCCTAAAGGATGGCGACCCCAAAGGGACCCCAAACAGCCCCAAAGAGCCCCAAAAAGCCCCAGGGACCCCAAAGGGACCCCATAATGACCCCAAATCCCCCCCAAACCCCCCCCAGGCACGGTGTGGATGCTGGAGATCCTGAGCCTGATCCTCAAGGACGGCGATCCCGGCTGGTGCCGCTCGGTGCCCAACTGGGATCGGGGGCCGTGGCTCGAGACCCTCCTGGGGTACCGGAGAGCTCGGGGGAACCCCCGGCCCCGAATCATCAGCTCCCACCTGCCCGTGCAGCTCTTCCCTAAGGCCTTCTTCGGGTCCAAGGCCAAGGTTTGGGGGGTTTGGGGTCAGGGATTTGGGGGATTTAGGGTCAGGAATGGTGGCTTTGGGTTCAGGAATGGGGGTTTGGGGTCAGGAATGGGGGTTTGGGGGGATTTGGGATCATCAGCTCCCACCTGCCCGTGCAGCTCTTCCCAAAGTCCTTTTTTGGGTCCAAGGCCAAGGTTTGGGGGGTTTGGGGTGGATTTGGGGTCAGGAATGGGAATTTGGGATCATCAGCTCCCACCTGCCCATGCAGCTCTTCCCTAAGGCCTTCTTCGGGTCCAAGGCCAAGGTTTGGGGGGTTTGGGGTGGGATTTGGGGATTTGGATTGGGAATTGGGGTTTGGGGGTTTGGGGTCAGGAATGGGGGCTTTGGGGTCAGGAATGGGGGTTTGGGATCAGGAATGGGGGTTTGGGGTGGATTTGGGATCATCAGCTCCCACCTGCCTGTGCAGCTCTTCCCAAAGTCCTTTTTTGGGTCCAAGGCCAAGGTTTGGGGGGGTTTGGGGTGGGATTTGGGATGGGAATTGGGGTGGGGGAGTTTGGGGTCAGGAATGGGGATTTTGGGGGATTTGGGGTCAGGAATGGGGATTTGGGGGGATTTGGGGGTCAGGAATGGAGGATTTTGGGGGTCGGGACTGGAGGATTTGGGGGGTATTTTGGGGTCACCCCAGGATGTCCCTGTGCCCCCCAGGTGATTTACACGGTGAGGGACCCCAAGGATGTCCTGGTGTCCCTTTATCACTTCGCCTGAATCTTCCCGGCCCTACAAAGACCCCGGAACGCTCGAGGAGTTCATGGAGAAATTCCTGCAGGGAGACGGTGGGAGGGCGGGGTCTGGGGGATTGAGGGATTTTGGGGGGACAGGAGAGGACTGGGGGATTTGGGGGATCTGAGAAGGATTGGGGGGGATCTGGGGTGGGATTTGGGGGTGGAAATGTGGATTTGGGGGGATTTGAGGGATTTGGGGGTTTTGTTGGGATAGGGGGTTGGGGTGTGGGGGGGGGAGAGAATTTTGAGGGGGGTTGTCCCCAATGTCCCCTCTGTCCCCAATGTCCCCTCTGTCCCCAATGTGTCCCCAATGTCCCCAATGTCCCCAGTGTGTCCCCAATGTCCCCATTAATGTCCCCAATGTGTCCCCAATGTCCCCTCTGTCCCCAGTGCCGTTCGGGTCGTGGTTCCAGCACGTCCGGGGGTGGCTCCAGCTCCGGGGCAGGGACAATTTCTTCTGGATCAGCTACGAGGAGCTGCAGCAGGTGGGGACACCCCCAGTGTCCCCCGTGTCACCCTGGGGCCACCAATGTCACCAATGTCACCCCAATGTCACCCCAATGTCCCCAGTGGCACCCCCGTGTCCCCAATGTCACCCCAATGTCCCCAGTGGCACCCCTGTGTCCCCAGTGTCCCCAGTGTCACCCTGGGGCCACCAATGTCCCCAATGTCACCCCAATGTCACCCCCAATGTCCCCAATGGCACCCCCGTGTCCCCAGTGTCCCCAATGTCACCCCGGGGTCACCCCCAGTGTCTGGATCAGCTGTGAGGAGCTGCAGCAGGTGGGGACACCCCCAGTGTCCCCAATGTGTCCCCAATGTGTCCCCAATGTCCCCAATGTCCCCAATGTCCCCAATGTGTCCCCAATGTGTCCCCAATGTCCCCAATGTCCCCAGGGATGTCCCCAATGTGTCCCCAATGTCCCCCATTAATGTCCCCAATGTCCCCAATGTCCCCCATTAATGTCCCCCATTAATGTCCCCAATGTCCCCAGTGTCCCCGATGTGTCCCCTCTGTCCCCAATGTCCCCAGGGATGTCCCCAATGTGTCCCCAATGTGTCCCCAATGTGTCCCCAGGGATGTCCCCAATGTCCCCAGGGATGTCCCCAGTGTGTCCCCAAATGTCCCCAAATGTCCCCAGTGTGTCCCCAATGTCCCCAATGTGTCCCCAAATGTCCCCAATGTCCCCAGTGTGTCCCCAATGTCCCCAATGTGTCCCCAATGTCCCCAATGTCCCCAATGTCCCCCATTAATGTCCCCAATGTGTCCCCAGTGTCCCCCATTAATGTCCCAAATGTCCCCAATGTGTCCCAAATGTCCCCAGGGATGTCCCCAATGTCCCCAATGTGTCCCCAATGTCCCCAGTGTGTTCCCAATGTGTCCCCAATGTCCCCCAATAATGTCCCCCATTAATGTCCCCAATGTGTCCCCAATGTGTCCCCACTGTCCCCACTGTCCCCAATGTGTCCCCAGTGTCCCCAAATGTCCCCAATGTCCCTAAATATCCCCAATGTGTCCCCAATGTCCCCAATGTCCCCAATGTCCCCAGGGATGTCCCCAATGTCCCCAATGTGTCCCCAATGTCCCCAATGTCCCCAATGTGTCCCCAATGTCCCCAATGTGTCCCAAATGTCCCCAGGGATGTCCCCAATGTCCCCAATGTGCCCCCAATGTCCCCAATGTCTCCAGTGTCCCCAATGTGTCCCCTCTGTCCCCAGTGTGTCCCCAATGTCCACGATGTCCCCAGGGATGTCCCCAATGTGTCCCCAATGTGTCCCCACTGTCCCCAATGTCCCCAAGGTGTCCCAAATGTCCCCAATGTGTCCCCAGGGATATCCCCAGTGTGTCCCCAATGTCCACGATGTCCCCAGGGATGTCCCCAATGTCCCCGATGTCCCCCATTCATGTCCCCAGTGTCCCCAATGTCCCCAAATGTCCCCACTGTCCCCAATGTGTCCCCACTGTCCCCAGGACCTGCGTGCAGCCCCAGCGCCTCGCTCCTTCCTAGTGCCACCCAATGTCCCCAGAGATGTCCCCAATGTCCCCAGGGATGTCCCCAATGTGTCCCCCCAATGTGTCCCCAATGTATCCCCAATGTCCCCAATGTGTCCCAAATGTCCCCAGGGATGTCCCCAGTGTCCCCAATGTGTCCCCTCTGTCCCCAGTGTCCCCACTGTCCCCCATTAATGTCCCCACTGTCCCCAGGACCTGCGTGGCAGCGTCCAGCGCCTCTGCTCCTTCCTGGGCCACCCCCTGTCCCCAGAGATGTCCCCAATGTCCCCAGTGTGTCCCCAATGTCCCCAATGTCCCCAGGATGTCCCCACTGTCCCCCATTAATGTCCCCACTGTCCCCAGGACCTGCGTGGCAGCGTCCAGCGCCTCTGCTCCTTCCTGGGCCACCCCCTGTCCCCAGAGATGTCCCCAATGTGTCCCCAATGTGTCCCCAATGTCCCCAATGTGTCCCCAATGTGTCCCCAATGTGTCCCCCATGAATGTCCCCAATGTCCCCAATGTGTCCCCAATGTCCCCACTGTCCCCAGGACCTGCGTGGCAGTGTCCAGCGCCTCTGCTCCTTCCTGGGCCACCCCCTGTCCCCCGGGGCCGTGGACGCCGTGGTGGCCAACGCGTCCTTTGTCACCATGAGCCACAACCCCATGAGCAACTTCAGCCTCTCCCCCCAGTTCATCCTGGACCAACAGAGGGGACCCTTCCTGCGCAAGGGTGGGGACACCGGGGGGTTTGGGGGGTTGAGGACACCTTGGGGGTTGGGGACACCTTGGGGGTTGGGGACACCTCGGGGGATTGGGGACATTGGGGACACTGGGGGGACATTGAGCAACTTCAGCCTCTCCCTCAATTCATCCTGGACCAACAGAGGGGACCCTTCCTGCGCAAGGGTGGGGACACCGGGGGCTTTGGGGACACCTTGGGAGGGTTGGGGACACCTTGGGGGTTGGGGACACCTCGGGGGTTGGGGGAATTGGGGACACCTTGGGGGTTGGGGACACCTCGGGGGGTTGGGGACACCTTGGGGGTTGGGGACACCTCGGGGGTTGGGGACATTGTGGGACATCGGGGGACATCGGGGGACATTGAGCAACTTCAGCCTCTCCTCGGTTCATCCTGGGCCAACTGGAGGGGACCCTTCCTGCGCAAGGGTGGGGACATTGGGGGTTGGGGACACCTTGGGGGTTGGGGACACCTTGGGGGGCATTGGGGACACCGGGGGTTGGGGACACCTTGGGGGTTGGGGACACCTTGGGGGTTGGGGACACCTTGGGGGCATTGGGGACACCGGGGGTTGGGGACACCTTGGGGGTTGGGGACATCGGGGGATTGGGGACATCGGGGGGGACATGGGGGAGACATCGGGGGGGACATTGAGCAACTTCAGCCTCTCCCCTCGGTTCATCCTGGACCAACGGAGGGGACCCTTCCTGTGCAAGGGTGGGGTTTTGGGGTGGATTTGGGCAGGTTTTGGGGTGGATTTGGGCAGGTTTTGGGGTGGATTTGGGCAGGTTTTGGGGTGGATTTGGGTATTTCTTGGGGTGTATTTGGGTGTTTTTGGGGGGGGATTTGGATGGGTTTTGGGACTGTATTTGGGCAACTTTTGGGGTTATATTTGGGCAGATTTTGGGCGGGATTTGGGTGTTTTTTGGGGGCTGTATTTGGGTGGTTTTTTGGGTGTATTTGGGCGGTTTTTGGGGCTGTATTTGGCTGGGTTTTGGGGCTGTATTTGGCTGGGTTTTGGGGCTGGTTTAGGGCAGGTTTTTGGGGTGTATTTGGGCAGTTTTTTGGGGCTGTATTTGGGTGGTTTTTGGGGTGTATTTGGGCAGGTTTTTGGGGCTGTATTTGGGTGGGTTTTGGGGTGTATTTGGGCAGTTTAGGGGGCTGTATTTGGCTGATTTTTGGGGCTGTTTTTGGGCAGTTTTGGGGGCTGTATTTGGGCAGTTTTTGGGTGGGATTTAGGTGTTTTTTGAGGGCTGTATTTGGGCAGTTTTTGGGGTATATTTGGGCGGTTTTTGGGGTTGTATTTGGGCGAGGTTTGGGGGCTGGATTTGGCTGATTTTTGGGGCTGTTTTTGGGCTGTATTTGGGGCTGTATTTGAGCAGTTTTTGGGGTGCATTTGTGTGGTTTTTGGGGCTGTATTTGGCTATTTTTTAAGGTATATTTGGGCAGTTTTTGGGGTGTATTTGGGCGGGTTTTTGGGGCTGTTTTGGGCAGGTTTTGGGGACGGATTTGGCTGGGTTTTTGGGGGTGTATTTGGGCAGATTTTGGGATTGTATTTGGCTATTTTTTGCTCTGTATTTGGGCAGTTTTGGGGGTCTGTTTGGGCAGTTTTTGGGGTGTATTTGGCTGGTTTTTGGTCTGTATTTCGGTGGTTTTTTCGGGGTGTATTTGGGGGGGATTTGGGCTGTATTTAGCTGGTTTTGGGGATTGTTTTTGGGTTGTATTTGGGCAGTTTAGGGGCTGTATTTGGCTGATTTGGGGGCTGTTTTTAGGCTGTATTTGGGGCTGTATTTGGACAGGTTTTGGGCTGGATTTGGGTATTTTTGGGGGCTGGATTTGGGCAGTTTTTGGGTTATATTTGGATGGTTTTTGGGGTGTATTTGACTGATTTTTCGGGGCTGTATTTGGGCTGGGTTTTGGGTTGTATTTGGGCTGCTTTTGGGGGCTGCATTTTGTTGATTTTTTGGGGTTGTTTTTGGGTTGTATTTGGGAAGTTTTTGGGGTGCATTTGTGTGGTTTTGGGGTTGTATTTGGGCAGTTGGGTTGTATTTGGCTGGTTTTTTGGGCTGTTTTAGAGCAGGTTTTGGGGACGGATTTGGCTGGTTTTTTGGGGTGCATTTGGGCAGTTTTGGGGGTGTATTTGTGTGGTTTTGGGGACTGTATTTGGCTATTTTTTAGGGTATATTTGGGCAGCTTTGGGGGCTGGGCTGTATTTGGGCAGTTTTTGGGCTGGATTTGGGTGTTTTTTGAGGGCTGTATTTGGGCAGATTTGGGGGTATATTTGGACGGTTTTTGGGCTGTATTTGGCTGATTTTTGGGGCTGTATTTGGGTGGATTTTGGGGGCTGTATTTGGGTAGTTTTTGGGGTGTATTTGTGTGGGTTTTGGGGCTGTATTTGACTATTTTTTAGGGTATGTTTGGGCGGTTTTTGGGGCTGTATTTGGGTAGTTTTTGGGCTGGATTTGGTGTTTTTTGGGGACTGTATTTGGGCAGTTTTTGGGGTGTATTTGGGCAGGTTTTGGGGTGTATTTGGGCAGTTTTTGGGGCTGTATTTGGGCAGTTTTTGGGGCTGTATTTGGCTGGTTTTTTGGGCTGTATTTGACTGGTTTTTGGAGTATATTTGGGTGGGTTTTGGGGTATATTTGGGCAGTTTTTGGGGTGGATTTGGCAGGTTTTTGGGGCTGGATTTGGGCAGGTTTTGGGGTTATATTTGGCTGGTTTTTGGGGTGTATTTGACTAATTTTTCAGGATGTATTTAGGCTGGTTTTTGGGGTGTATTTGGGCGGTTTTTGGATTGTATTTGGACTGCTTTTGGGGGCTGCATTTGACTGATTTTTGGGGCTGTTTTTGGGCTGTATTTGGGGCTGTATTTGGATGGATTTTGGGGCTGTATTTGAGCAGGTTTTGGGGTGCATTTGTGTGGTTTTTTCGGCTGTATTTGGCTATTTTTTAGGGTATATTTGGGCAGTTTTTTGGGCTGGATTTGTGCGGGTTTTTGGGGTTGTATTTGGCTGTTTTTTGGGACTGTTTTAGGGCAGGTTCTGGGGATGGATTTGGCTGGTTTTTTGGGGTGTGTTTCACTGTTTTTTGGGGCTGGATTTCGTTGTTTTTTGGGGGCTGTATTTGGGCAGGTTTTGGGGTGTATTTGTGTGGTTTTTTGGGACTGTATTTGACTATTTTTTAGGGTATATTTGGGCAGCTTTGGGGGCTGTATTTGGGCAGATTTTGGGATTGTATTTGGCTATTTTTTGCTGTGTATTTGGGCAGTTTTGGGGGTCTGTTTGGGGAGGTTTTGGGGTGTATTTGGCTGGTTTTTGGTCTGTATTTCGGTGGGGTTTTTTGGGTGTATTTGGGGGGGTTTTGGGCTATATTTAGCTGTTTTTTTGGGGTTGTTTTTGGGCTGTAGTTGGCTGATTTTTGGGACTGTTTTTGGGGCTGTATTTGGGCAGTTTTTGGGGTGCATTTGTGTGGGTTTTGGGACTGTATTTGGCTATTTTTTAGGGTATATTTGGGCAGTTTTGGGGTCTGTATTTGGGCGGTTTTTGGGACTGTATTTGGCTGGATTTTGGGGCTGTATTTGACTGATTTTTCAGGATGTATTTGGGCTGGTTTTTGGGGTGTATTTGGGCGGTTTTTGGGTTGTATTTGGACTGCTTTTGGGGGCTGCATTTGACTGATTTTTGGGGCTGTTTTTGGGCTGTATTTGGGGCTGTATTTGGGTGGATTTTGGGACTGTATTTGAGCAGTTTTTGGGGCGCATTTGTGTGGTTTTTGGGGTGTATTTGGCTGGTTTTTTTGGGCTGCATTTGGGCAGTTTTTGGGCTATATTTGGGCTGTTTTGGGGGGCTGTATTTATCTGTTTTTTGGGGCTGTTTTGGGGTGTATTTGGGCAGTTTTTGGGGCTGTATTTGGCTGGGTTTTTTGGGTTGTATTTGGGCAGGTTTTTTTGTCTGTATTTAGGCAGTTTTTGGGGCTGCATTTTGCTGGGTTTTAGGCTGTATTTGGGCTGGTTTTTGATGCTGTATTTGGGGAGTTTTTGGGATATATATGGCTGGTTTTCGGGTCTGCATTTGGGGAGTTTTTGGTGTGTATTTGGGCTGTTTTTGGGGACTGTATTTGTGGGGTTTTTTGGGGCTATATTTGGGCATTTTTGGGCTGTATTTGGGCAGTTTTTTGGGGCTGTATTTGGGCAGGTTTTGGGCTGGATTTTGGTCGAGTTTTGGGGTGAATTTGTGTGGGGTTTGGGGTATATTTGGGCAGTTTTGGGGGCTGGATTTGGGCAGTTTTTGGGGCTGGATTTGGCCGGGTTTTGGTGACTGTATTAGACTGATTTTTGGGGCTATATTTGGGCATTTTTGGGTTGTATTTGGGCAGGTTTTTTTGTCTGTATTTGGCTGTTTTTTAGGGTTGTATTTGGGTAGGTTTTGGGTTGTATTTAGGCAATTTCTGGGGTGAATTTGGGGGTTCTCACCCCCCCGTTTATCCCCCCCTCCCCAGGGATCTCGGGGGACTGGAGGAACCACCTGAGCCCCGAGCAGAGCGCCCGCTTCGACCTCGTGTACCGCGAGCAAACGGCCGGCCTGGGGGTCTCCTTCCCCTGGGACCCCCCCACAGACCCCAGGGGACGCCCCCTGGAGACCCCCGGGGCCGAGGGGACCCCCTGGTTCATCTCAGGACCCTCCTGAGGGGAGGGAAAGGAGAAGCCCCCACCCAGGACCCCCGAGGAGGAGGAGGAGGAAAGACCCCCCTGGGGACCCCTGACCCCAAACCCCCACCTTGACCCTCCCAAGAGCCCCCAGGAGACCCCTAAAAATCACCCCCAAAAAATTCCTGGAGACCCCCGGACCCCAAAACCTCCCCAGAAACTCCCCGAGACCCCCAGAACTCCCCCAAGACCCTCCTGCACCTTCCCAACCCCCAAATTCCCTTTCCCTTCCCAACAAACCCCCAAACACGCCCAAAATCCCCTAAAATCCTCTTAAAATCCCCCCAAAATCCTCCTTAAAATCCCCCAAAATCCCCTTAAAGCCCCCCAAAATCTCCTTTACCCCCCCTAAAGCCCCCAAAATCCTCCTTAAAAGGCCCCCAAAATCCCCCTTAACCCCTCCCAAATCCCTTAACCCCCCCAAAATCCCCTTAAACCTCCCCTAAAATCTCCTTAAACCTCCCTTAAAACCCCCCAAAAATCCCCTTAAATCACCCCAAAATCCCCTTAAACCCTCCCAAAATCCCCTTAAAACCACCCTTAAAACCCCCAAAAATCCCCTTAAAACCCCCAAAATCCCCTTAAAACCCCCCACCCCCAAAACCCCCAAAATCCCCTTCAAAACCCCCCACCCCCAAAATCCCCCAAAACCCCCAAAATCCCTTTAAACCCCTAAAAATCCCCTTTAAACCCCCCAAAATACCCCCAAAATCCCCAAACCCCCAAAATCCTCCTTAAACGCCCCCAAAATCTCCCTTAAACCCCCAAATCCCCCTTAACCCCTCCCTAAATTCCCTTAAAACACCCCCAAAATCCCCTTAAACCTCCCCTAAAATCTCCTTAAACCTCCCCATAAAACCCCCCAAAAATCCCCTTAAATGACACCAAAATCCCCCTAAAACCCTCCCAAAATCCCCTTAAAGCTCCCCCAAATCCCCTTAAATCACCCCAAAATCCCCTTAAAACCCCTATTAAAGCCCCCCCAAATCCCCTTAAATCACCCCACAAAATGCCCTTAAACCCCTTCCAAAAATCGCCTTTACCCCCCCTTAAAATCCCCTTAAACCCCCCTTAAAACCCCCCCAAATCCCCTTAAACCCCCCTAAAATCCCCTTAAATCACCCCAAAATCCCCTTAAAACCCTCCCAAAATCACCTTAAACCCCCTTTAAACCCTCCCAAAATCTCCTTAAAACCCTCCCAAAATCTCCTCTAAATCACCCCAAAATCCCCTTAAACCCACCCTTAAACCCCAAAAATCCCTTAAAACCCCCTAACCCCCCCAAAACCCCCAAACCCCCGAAAATCCCCTTAAACCCCCCAAAAGTCCCCTTTAAACCCCCCAAAATACCCCCAAAATCCCCTTAAACTCCCCAAAATCCCCTTAAACCCCCAAAAATCCCTTCAACCCCCCAAAATCCTCCTTAAAACGCCCCCAAAATCTCCCTTAAAACCCCCAAAATCCCCTTAAACTCCCCCAAATCCCCTTAACCCCTCCCCAAAATCCCCTTAACCCCCCAAAATCCCTTAAAACTCCCACAAAATCCCTTAAAACTCCTCCCAAAAATCCCCTTAAATCACCCCAAAATCCCTTAAAACCCCTTAAACCCCAAAAATCCCCTTAAACCCCCCAAAATCCCCTTAAAACCCCCAAAAATCCCCAAAATCCCTTAAAACTCCCAAAATCCCCAAACCCCCAAAATCCCCTTAAAACCCCCTAAAATCCCCTAAAACCTCCCAAAATCCCCTTAAACCCTCCCCAAAATCCCCTTAAACCCTCCCAAAATCCCAAAACCCCCCAAAATCCCCTTAAACCCCCAAAACTCTCTTAAAACTCCCCCCAAAATCCCTATAAATCACCCCTAAAATCCCCTTAAAACTCCCTCTTAAAACCCCCAAAACCCCTAAAACCCCCTAAACCCCCCAAATCCCCCTAAAATCCCCTAAAATCCCCCAAAATGCCCTTAAAACCCCCAAAATCCCCTTAAACCCCCCAAAAGCCCCCAAAATCCCATAAAACCCCCTAAAATCCCCCTAAAAGCCCCCAAAAATCCCCTTAAAACCCCCTAAAATCCCCTTAAACTCCCCAAAATCCCTTAAAACCACTCCCTAAAATCCCCTTAAACCCCCCAAAATCCCCTAAAATCACCCCAAAATCCCTTAAACCCCTCTTAAAAACCTCTAAATCCCCTAAAATCCCCTAAAATCCCCTTAAAATCCCCAAAATCCCCTTAAACCCAAAATCCCTTAAAATCCCCTAAAATCCAAACCCCAAAATCCCTTTAAAATCCCCCTAAAATCCCCAACCCTTAAAACCCCCAAAATCCCCCTAAAATCCCCTTAAACCTCCCAAAATCCCCTTAAACCCCTCCCCAAAATCCCCTTAAAACCCTCCCAAAATCCCCTCAAAATCCCCCAAAATCCCCTTAACCCCCCCAAAATCCCCTTAAAGCTCCCCAAAATCCCCTTAAATCACCCCTAAAATCCTCTTAAAACTACCTTAAACCCCCAAAATCCCCTTAAAACTCCCCCCAACCTCCCCTAAAATCCCCTCAAAATCCCCTCAAAACCCCCCAAAATGGCCTTAAATCCCCCCAAAAATCCCCTTTAAAACCCCCCAAAAGCCCCCCAAAATCCCCTTAAACCCCCCAAAATCCCCCCAAAAGCCCCCAAAATCCCCTTAAACCCCACAAAATTCCCCTTAACCCCTCCCCAAAATCCCCTTAAAACCACCCCAAAAGCCCCTTAAACCCCCCCAAATCCCCTTAAATCACCCCACAAAATCCCCTTAAACCTCCCCTAAAATCTCCTTAAACCCCCCTTAAAACCCCCCAAAAATCCCCTTAAATCACCCCAAAATCCCCTTAAAACCCTCCAAAAACCCCTTAAAACCCTCCTAAAATCCCCTTAAAGCCCCCCAAATCCCCTTAAATCACCCCACAAAATACCCTTAAACCCCCTCCAAAAATCGCCTTTACCCCCCCTTAAAATCTCCTTAAAACCCTCCCAAAATCCCCTTAAATCACCCCAAAATCCCCTTAAAACCACCCTTAAAACCCCCAAAAATCACCTTAAACACTCCCAAAATCCCCCAACCCCCCAAAATCCCCTTAAACCCCCCAAAATCCTCCTTAAAACACCCCCAAAATCCCCCAAAATCCCCCAAAATCCTCTTAAAACTCCCCCAAAATCCCCTTAAATCACCCCAAAATCCACTTAAAACCACCCTTAAAACCCCCAAAATCACCTTAAATACCCCCCAAAATCCCCCCAAATCCCCCCAAAATCCCCCCAAAATCCCCTTTAACCCCCTCCCCTCCCCTTTCCCCCATTTCTCCCCCAAAAAACCCCTTCATTTCCTCATTTTTTCCCAAAAAACCTTCATTTCCCCCCTTTTTCCTTCTCTAAAACCCCTTTATTCCCTTTTCTTTTTCCCCTCCAAAACCTTCACTTTTTTATCTTTTTTTTGGGCTTTGGTTTGGGGTTTTTTTCCCAGTTTTGTTGTTTTGGGTTTTTTTTCCTCCAAAAATATTTATTTTCTCTCTCCAAAAATCATTAATTTTTTCCTCTAAAAATCTTTAATTTTTCGTTCCAAAAATCTTTATTTTTTCCTCTAAAACTCTTTATTTTTTTTCCTCCAAAAATCTTTAATTTTTTTCCTCCAAAAATCTTTATTTTTGCCACCGTTTTTTGGTGGGGTTTTTTCCCTCCAAAAATCATTATTTTTTCCACCAAAAATCTTTAATTTTTCACTCCAAAAATCTTAATTTTGCCACTGTTTTTTTTAGGTTTTTTTTCCTCCAAAAATCTTTATTTTTCCACCATTTTTTTTCTCCAAAAATCTTTATTTTTTCCTCCAAAAATCTTTATTTTCCCCTCCAAAACTCTCTATTTTGCCACCATTTTTTTTTCCTCCAAAAATCTTTATTTTACCACCCTTTTTTAATTTTATTTTTTCCTCCAAAAATCTTTATTTTTTCCCTCCAAAAACCTTTATTTTGCCACCATTTTTTTTCTCCAAAAATCTTTATTTTAGCACCATTTTTTTAAAGGGTTTTTTTCCCTCCAAAAATCTTTATTTTTTCCTCCAAAAACCTTTATTTTTCGCCTCCAAAAATCTTCATTTTTTTCCTCTAAAAATCTTTAATTTTTTTCCCCTCCAAAACTCTTTGTTTTACCACCATTTTTTTCCTCCAAAAATCTTCATTTTTCCCTCCAAAACTCTTTATTTTCCCACCATTTTTTTCCCTCCAAAAAAATCTTTATTTTACCACCACATTTTTAATTTCATTTTTTTTCCTCCAAAAACTCTTTATTTTTTTTTTCCCTTCCAAAACCCTCTTTTATTCCACCTCTTTCTTCCCTTTATTTTTTATTTTTTCCCCTCCCCTTTTTCTCTCTCTTTTTCCCCAAACCCTGGGTTGGATTTTGGGGGGGGGATTTTTGGGGTCCCTCCCTGGGCAATAAATAAAAAAGGGGTCGCCCTTTTGGGGGGGATTTTCGGTACCGTGACTACAAATAAGAACAATAATTAGAATATTAATTAGAATAATTAGCGTAGGGGCAATAAATTAAATAAATTAGGGCTCAGAGGCGCTGCCGCAGCAGGAGCAGCCCCCGCACCCCCCAGTCCAGGTACAGGTGGAGGCTCCGGCTCACGGCGTGGGCCCCACGCACGACCCCCCACGCAGACACGGGGGAGGGGCGGCCGGGGGGGCGAGGGGGCGGGGGGCAGCGACAGCCGCGACATCTGGGAAAAAAACGAAATTAAAATAAATTAAATTAAATAAAATGTAAAATTAAATACAATTAAATCTGAAATTAATTAAATTAATTAAAATTTAATTAATTAAATTAAATTAAATACAATAAAATACACCTGGGGGAGAAAATAAAATAAAATAAAATAAAATACACCTGGGGGAAATAAAATAAAATACACCTGGGGTGAGAAAATAAAATACACGGGGGAATAAAATAAAATACACCTGGGGGACACAGGGGAGAAAATAAAATAAAATAAAATAAAATAAAATACACCTTGGGGGAGAGAAGAGAATAAAATAAAATACACCTGGGGGAAATAAAATAAAATACACCGGAGGGGGTTACAGGGTGAGGGAGGGGGGAGAAATTCACACCTGGGGGATGTGGAGATTTGGGGGAGGGGGAGGGAAATGCGACCCCCGATGGCCCCCCCAGCCCCCCATTCCCATCAGTCCGACCTCCCTGAGCACCCCCTGTGCCCCCCATTCCCATCAGTTCTGAGCGCCCCAGAGCCCCCCCAGCACCCCCATCTCCATCAATCCCGACCTCCCGAGACCCCCTCACCAGCAGGTCGAGCCTCCCAGAGCCCCCCCAACTTCCATCACTTCCAACCCCCCATTCCCATCAATCCCCCCATTCCCATCAATCCCCCATTCCCATCAATCCCGACCCCTCGAGCCCCCCTCACCAGCAGGTCGAGCCCCCCTCACCAGCAGGTCGAGCCTCCCCGTGTCCCCCTGAGCCCCCCTCACCAGCAGATCGAGCCCCCTCACCAGCAGATCGAGCCCCCTCACCAGCAGATCGAGCCCCCGTGTCCCCTGTGTCCCCTCGAGCCCCCTCACCAGCAGGTCGAGCCCCCCACCAGCAGGTCGAGCCCCCTCACCAGCAGGTCGAGCCTCCGAGCCCCCCTCACCAGCAGGTCGAGCCCCCCTCACCAGCAGGTCGAGCCTCCCCCGCAGCCTCTCGAGGCGCCCCCGCAGCGCCCCCAGCTCCGGTTCGAGCCCCTGAGGGCCCCCGCGCGGCGCAGCCACTCCACGAGCCGCTGGTACCGCAGCAGGTCCGAGCACAGCCGGGGCAGCAGCACCGACGCCTGGGGGCATTTGGGGTCGGGGGTCATTTGGGGTCCGGGGGTTCATTTGGGGTCGGGGGCTTTGGGGGATTTGGGGTTAGGGAGGATTGGGAGTTATGGGGATTGGGGTCCCAGCCGGGCAGCAGCACCGACGCCTGGGGGCATTTGGGGTCGGGGGTTCATTTGGGGTCGGGGGTTTGGGGGATTTGGGGTTATGGGGGATTTGGGGTCAGGGGATTGGGGGTCCCAACTGGCAGCAGCACCGACGCCTGGGGGCATTTAGGTCGGTGGGGTTCATTTGGGGTCGGGGGTTTGGGGGCATTGGGAGTTATGGGGGATTTGGGGTTATGGGGGATTTTGGGGTTCAGGGGTCCCAGCTGGGGCAGCAGCGCCGACGCCTGGGGGGCACTGGGAGGGGCACGGGGGTCACTGGGGTCGGGGGGTCATTTGGGGTCGGGGAGTTCATTTGGGTTTAGGGGGAATGGGAGTTATGGGGGATTTGGGAGTCAGGGGATTTGGGGTTATGGGGGATTTGGGGATCAGGGGGATTTTGGGGTTCAGGGGTCCCAGCCAGGGCAGCAGCGCTGACGCCTGGGGGTCATTTAGGGTCAGGGGTCATTTGGGTCGGGGGGTCGTTGTGGGTCGGGGGTCACGGGGTAGTCACGAGGGGGTCGGGGGCTTTGGGTGTCATTGGGGTGTCATTGTGGGTCGGGGGGCACGTGGGGCTGGGGGACACGGGGGTTTAGGGAGGAGGGGGTGTCAGGAGACCTCGAGACCGCCCCCACCCACGGGGAGCCCCCAGACCCGCGGGGACCCCAAGCACGCCCCTCCCCTCCATGGAGCCCCTCAAGGTCCTCACAGACCCCCACGCGTGTCCCGCCCCCCACCTGGATGTTGGGGAGCTCCAGGGCGCTCATGGCCAGCACGGGCAGCGAGTCGAGCTTGTGCTCCTCCGCCGGGAATCGCGACTTCTGTCGCGACAGGAGGGAGGATCAGCCCACGCGCGACCACCCCCGACACGCGGGGGGCTGGGAGGGCGTGGGGAGGACGCAGAGTGTGGGGGTGGAAATGAAAGGAGGGTCGGGGGGCGTGGGAGGGTCGGGGGTCCGTGGGTGCCCCAGGGGGTCCGTGGGGTGATTTATGGGGGTTGGAGGGGGCTCTCGTGGGGTGTGTTTTGGGGGCCTGGGGGAGTGATGGGGACTCGTGGGGGACCTGAGGGCCCGTGGGTGCCCTGGGAGGGTCCGTGGGTGTCCCGGGTGGGGTCTCAGGGTGTTGGGGGTCCGTGGGTGCCGCGGGGGTCTCTGGGGTGCTGGGGGTCCGTGGGTGCCGCGGGGGGTCCGTGGGGTGTCGCGCATGGGGTGTGTGGGGGTTGTCGCGCGTGGTACCCACGAGGAGCTCGAGGAAAGCCTTGGTCTCGCTGAGCAGGGCCTTGGCCAGGTTGATGATGCCGTCCAGGTCCCCACGCGTGTCCGTGGGCGGGGGGCGCGGGCGGGGGCGAGCGCCAGCCCCGGGCCCGGCCACAGCCCCGGCCACAGCCCCAGCAGCGCCAGCAGCGCCTGCCACGGAGCCCTGCGGGACCAGCACGGACACGCGTGGGTGAGGGGGCACCGGGAATGCCGCCATTCCGGGAGGGGGGGAGGGCACGGGATGTGGGGAGATCCTGGATTTGGGGGAGATCCCGGGATTTGGGGGAGATCCGGGGATTGGGGGGAGATCCGGGGATTGAGGTGGAACTCAAAAATCCCAGGATTTGGGGGAGATCCGGGGATTGGGGGGGAACCCGAAAATGCCGGGATTTGGGGAGATCCTGGGATTTGAGGGAGATCCTGGGATTGGGGAGATCCTGGGATCGGGGGATCCTGAGAATCCCGGGATTCAGGGGCAGATTTTGGGATTGGGTGGTCCCGGGAATCCCGGGATTGGGGGAATGCTGGGATTTGGGGGGGTCCTGAAAATCCCGGGATTCGGGGGGGAGATCCTAGGACTGGGGGGGATCCCAAGAATCCCGGGATTCGGGGGGAGATCCCGGGATTGGGGGGCAGATCCTGGGATTTGGGGGACACCGAAAATCCCGGGATTCCCCCAGTCCCGGCAATGTCAGGGATGGGGGAATCTCGGGATCTCGGCAATCCCGGGATGCGGCTCCTGGTTTTCCCGGTATTCCGGGATTTGGGGGGGAATTCCCAAAAGTTGGGGGAGTCCTGGAACGCCGGGATGGAGATCCTGGGATCGGGGATCCCGGGAATGCCGAGGATGAGGCTCCTGCTGGGATTGGGGGGGTCCCGGGAATCCCAGGGGACAGGATTTTGGGTTTGGGAAATGCCGGGAATGTCGGGATCGGGGGGTCCCGGGAATCCCACGGGCTGGGATTTTGGGTTTGGGAAATGCCGGGAATGTCGGGATCGGGGGGTCCCGGGAATGCAGGAGCTGCTCCGTCCCGGCGCTCCCGGGACTGGGAATTTCGGGGACTCCCGGGAACGTCGGGAATGAGGATCCCGGGAATTCCTTCGCCTCCCGGCTCTCCAGGATCCCGGGATTGAGGGATCCCGGGAATTCCCGGCGCTCTCGGGATTGGGGGGGTCCCGCGCCTGGAGCATCCCGGGGCTGGGGGATCCCGGGAATTCCAGGACTGAGGGATCCGGTGTTCCCGGGATTCCCGGGATTTGGGGGGACCAGCCGGTGCTAACGGGTGAGGGGGAATCCCGGGGCTGGAAGATCCCGGGAATCCCGGGGCTCTCGGGATTCGGGGATCCCGGGAATGGGGCTCCCGGTGCTAACGGGAATCCCGGGAACCTGGGAATGCCAGGAATGCCGGGGCTGGGGGAGCCGGCGCTGACACGCGGGGAAATCCCGGGATCCCCGGGGGACCCTCGGGATTTGGGAGATCCCGGGAATTCGGGGGGTCCCGGGTATTATTTTTTGGGATCGCGGGAATCCCGGGATTTGGGATCGGGAAAAAAAAAACCTGAGCGCTCCCGACAATCCTGGGATTTGGGGGCTCCCGGGAATGGGGATACCGGCATTTGGAACTCCCGGGATTTGGGACTCCCGGGATTCGGGATTGCCGGGGTCGAGGATCGCGGGAATCCCGGGATTTGGAGCTCCCGGGAATGGAGCCATTCCCGGCACTTTTGGGATTTTTGGGGCTGCCGGATTTGGGGGGGCTCGCGGAATTTGGGATTCCCGAGGTTGGGAATCGCGGGAATCCCGGGATTTGGAGCTCCCCAGAGCAGGAAAAAAAGAGGGAGGGGATTTCCCGGGAATGCCGGAATTTGGGGTTCCCTTTGGGATTTCGGGGCTCTCGGGATTTGGGACTCCCCTTGGGATTTGGGGGCTCGAGGAATTTGGGATTCCCGGGGTTGGGAATCGCGGGAACCCCGGGATTTGGAGCTCCCCAGAGCGGGAAAAAAAGGGGATGGGGGGATTCCCGAGACTCCCAGGAATGCCGGAATTTGGGGTTCCCTTTGGGATTTTGGGGCTCTCGGGATTTGAGACTCCCTTTGGGATTTTGGGGCTCGTGGAATTTGGGATTCCCGGGGTTGGGAATCGCGGGAATCCCGGGATTTGGAACACCGAATTAGGGGGAATCCGGGGGCTCCCGGAGAATTCGGGGTCCCACAACGCGGGATTTCGGATTTTTGGGGTCTCTCCCCTTCCTGCCGTGGCGTGGGGCGGTCGCGGCGCGTGGGGAGGGGTTTTGGGGAGGGGGGCGTGTTTTGGGGAGGGGGCGGGGGTAGGGGAGCGTCCTGTGCGGTCCGGGCTGGAAAGTTTGATGCGGGGCTGACTCAGGGCGGCGGCGGCGGCGGCACCTGCGGGAGCCCCCGCGAGTGGGGGCCCACCCGCGGAGTGGGGGGTGGGGAGGCGCCGATGGGGATGGGGAGAGAGGGGGACACCCCAAAATCACCCCTACCCCTCGCCCCGGTGACCCCACAACACCCTCCACCCACTGCTGCCTTCGCGACCCCACGTGTCCCGCCCCTCCCGCCCCACGGGCGCGGCCGCCGCGGGCGGGCAGGTGCGCCGGGGCCGTTTGCGGTTTGGAGGCGCGGCGGCGGCAGCTGCCCCCACGCCCCGAGGCCACGCGGGTGGACGCGCCCGGTCCCGCCGCGGCCGTGGGGAGGGACCCACCCGCGGACACCCCACACACAGCGCGGGGGTGGGGAGAAGGGGCCGCCCCGGGGTGGGGTGGCGGGGTCGCCCTTCGCTCCCCCTCCTCCACGCGTGTCCCGCTCTGCTCGGCCCACGGGCGGCACTTACGTGTCATGGCGGGGTCTCTCCGTGGGGTCCCCACGCGCGGGAGCTGGAGGTGCGTGCGGGGAGGGGGAGGGGGTGGTGTTTTTGGGGAGGGGGAGGGGGGGTCCCTGGTGCCGTGCGAGGGGGGGGTCGCAGCCACCACACTCACCCACTCACCCCACGCGCGGGGAACGTTCGGGGAGGGTCCCGCTCCCACGGGAGGGTCCCGCACCCACGGGAGGGGGTCACAGTGTGAGGGGGTCCCACTCGCCGTGGCGCGGGGAGGGGGAATCCCACTCGGGGCCCGTGCTCGGCTCCCCCCACGCGCCGTGACACGGACACGGGGGGCTCCTAGCGGCTCCCACGGGCCGTGACACGGACACGGGGCTCCGAGCGGCTCTCCCACGGGCCGTGACACGGTCACACCGTCGCTGTCACGCCGTCACTCACACCCGTCACGCACCCACGCGCCGTGACACTCTCCCACGGACACGCTCCCACGCGGCTCTCCCACGGCAGCCCCTCCACGAACTCCCTTCGTGGGGCCACGCTGCCTTTTCCCCCCCCTCCCACTCCACTCCACACTCCACTCCCCGGCGCTCCCGCGGCCGTGACACCCCCCCACGCGGCGTGACACGCTCCCACTCGCTCTCTCTCACACACACCCCTCGCACTTCGCCTCTCCCCCTCCCACCCCACGCCCCCTCTCCTCTCCCCACGCAGCTCCGCGGGGACCCGCGGGGCCTCGCCGCCCGCCCGCCCGTGGAGGAGGGGACTCGCGTGGGAGCGGCGTGTCCGCGTGTGTCCGCGTGTCCGTGTGTTGTGTCCCCGCGTGACGCCCTCGGCCCCGCGCCCGCCCCCCTTTATACCCCGCGGGAGCCGCCGCCGCCGCCGCCGATGACACATCCTGAGTCACGGCTTTTCCATTCACCCGCGGCCCTTGGAGGGAGAGAAACCCCCACGGCGGCCCCGGACACGCGGGACCCCGGACACCCCCACCGGGACACCCCCAAGCACCGCCACGGCGGGGGAGCAGGGTTCGCTCGGGGGTCCCCGCGTGGGGTCCCGGCATGGGGAGGGGGGGGCTCGGTCCCGCACACGGAGCGGGGCGGACACGCGCGGGGATCCACGCGCGGCTCTCGGGGCCGTCCCGGGCTGTCCTGGCTCTGTCCCGGTCCATCCCGCTCCATCCCGGGGCTGTCCCGGTCCATCCCAGGTCCGTCCCGGGGCCATCCTGGTCCATCGCGAGGCCGTCCCGATCCATCCTGGTCCATCCCGATCCATCCTGGTCCATCCCGATCCATCCCGGTCCATCCCAGGTCCGTCCCGGGGCCATCCTGGTCCATCCCAGGTCTATTCCGGTTCCATCCCGGTCCATCCCGGGGCCGTCCCGATCCATCCTGGTCCATCCCGATCCATCCCGGTCCATCCCGATCCATCCCGGTCCATCCCGATCCATCCCGGGTCTGCCCCGGGTCCATCCCGCTCCGGTCCCACCCGGGGGGTCCCGCGAGAACGGAGGGGGTCCCAAACCCCCCACCAGGCTCGGACCGGACCGGGGGTCTCGGTCCCCAGCGGGGGTCCCATCCCGGGGGGGTCTCGGTCCCACTTGGGGGTCTCAGTCCCACCCGAGGGTCTCGGTCCCACCCGGGGGGTCTCGGTCCCACCTTGGGGGTCTCGATCTCACCCGGGGGGGGTCTCGTGCCGAGCCCCCTCCTGTCCCGTCCCCCCCTCGCTCTCTTCCCCCCGTCCCTCCTGCGTGGCCGTGGGGATCCTCCTCCCCCCACCTCCCCCAACCCGAGCACCCCCCTTTCTGACTCAGCCCCCCTTCCCCACAGCCCCGCACCCCCCCAAACGATGTCTCCACCGCCCCCGGCTTCGCCCCACGCGCGTCAGCGCGGGACCCCTGTAGGGGTGTGGGGAGGGGGCGGGGCGAGGGGAGGCGGGCAGCGGCGCGCGGGGTGGGGCGGGGGCGGGCGGGATGTCCCCGCGTGAGGGGGAGGGACACCAGGGGAGGGTCCGCATGGGGATGGGAGGTCCCCAGCCTCCCCTCCTCGTGTCCCCGCGTGTTCGGGGGACCGGAGAGGTGGGGGTGAAGGGGGTGCGGGGGGCCCTGATGACGTCAGCGGCGGCAGCAGCGGAAACCCCGCGCGGCCACAGCGGCCGCGGCCCCCCACGGGCCCCCACGGGCTCCCCCCATCCCACGGCCTCCCAGACCCACGGCCCTGCGTCAGCGCCGGCCGCGAGCGTGGCCTCCTGCCCTATTGCCCCACAGCCCCAAATCCCTCCCATCCTCATCCTAAATCATCAGCAGCCTGCCCTATTGCCCCATCGACCCCAAATCCACCTCACTCTGCCCTAAATCCTCGTCATCCTGACCCCAAATCCCCCCCCTCCTGCCCTATTGCCCCATCGACCCCAAATCCACCTCACTCTGCCCTAAATCCTTGTCATCCTGACCCCAAATCCCCCTCCTGCCCTATTGCCCCATCGACCCCAAATCCACCTCACTCTGCCCTAAATCCTCGTCATCCTGACCCCAAATCCACCTCATCCTGATCCTAAATCATCATCATCCTGCCCTATTGCCCCACGACCCCATAACCCCCCATCCACCTCATTCTGACCCCAAATCCACCTCATCCTGCCCCAAATCCCCCCCATCCCGATCTTAAATCATCATCAGCCTGCCCTATTGCCCCATCGACCCCATAGCCCCCCATCCTGACCCCAAATCCCCCCCTCCTGCCCTATTGCCCCAAAGCCCCCCCCCATTTCTCCTGGAGGGTCCGGGGTCCTGGGGTCCTGGAGGTCCTGGAAGGTCCGGGGGTCCGGAGGGTCCCAGGGAGGTCCCGGGGGTCCTGGGATCCCAGGGGGTCTGTGAGGTTCGGGGATCCTGGGAGGTCCTGGGGGTCCTGGAGGTCCTGGGAGGTCCTGGGGGTCCTGGAGACCTGAAGGTCCGGGGGTCCTGGGAGGTCCCGGGGGTTCGGGGATCCTGGGGTCGGTGAAGTCCGGGAGGTCCTGGGGTCCCAGGGGTTCGGTGGCCGCGGTTGCGGCCCCGGTCACCTCCGGGCTCGGTGGGGGGAGGATCGGGGGGCCGATCCAGGCCAGTGCGTCAGGGAATGACGCGGGGCAGGATGTGGGGGCAGGGGGGACACCAGGGGGGACACCGATGGGGACGACACCGGGGGTTTGGGGACGGGGGAACGACACCGGGGACGACACCGGGGGGACACAGAGGGGGACATAGGGGGATTGGGGGCACAGGGGACACGGGGAGGGGACAGGAGGGTGGCGGGCTCGGGTTGTCACTGTTGTTGTCGCCGTGTCCTGAGACACGGGGGGGGGGGGTGACATCGTCACTGTCACCGCTGTGGCACTGTCACTGTCACCATCGTGCCACTGTCACCGCTGTGCCACTGTCACTGTCACCACTGTGGCACTGTCACTGTCACCATCGCGGCACTGCCACTGTCACCACCGTGACACTGTCACTGTCACCATCGTGCCACTGTCACTGTCACCGCTGTGTCACTGCCAATGTCCCCACCGCGTCCCCATCAGTGCCACCATCGACCCAAACCCCTCACAAATCGACCCCAACTCCCCCCGAATCCACCCCAAATTCCCCCCAAATCCACCCCAAAATCCCCCCAAATCGACCCTAAACCCCCCCAAATCGACTCCCAAAGCCCCCCAAATCCACCCCAAATCCCCCCATATCCACCCCAAAATCCCCCCAAATCGACCCCCAAAGCCCCCCAAATCCACCCCAAATCCCCCCATATCCACCCCAAAATCCCCCCAAATCGAACCCCAAATCCCCCCAAGTCCACCCCTAAATCCCCCGAAATCGACCCCAAATCCCCCAAATCCACACCCAAATCTCCCAAATCCCCAAATTCCCCCCCAAATCCCCCCAAATCGACCCCAAACCACAGCGTCACTGGGTGTTCGGGGCTCCGGCGGGGGGACGTTTTTGGGGTCCCGGGAGGGGCTTTGGGGGTGATTTCGGGGGTCCCGGAGGGGGCGATTTAGAACCGGTTTTAGGGTTTGGGGTCGATTTAGGGGATTTTGAGTCGATTTGGCGTCGATTTTGGGGGATTTAGGATCGATTTGAGGGGCTTTGGGGTCGATTTGGGGGAATTTTGGGGTCGGGGGACTTTGAGGGGGGTTTTAGGACCGAGTGGGGGAATCCCCGCGAAGGGGGCGTGGCTTTGAGGAGGGGGCGTGACCAAGCTCCCGGTTGGGGGCGTGGTTTACATGAGGGGAGGCCGGAGCTGATTGGCCGCCTCCCTTCCCGCCACTCATGTAGGTGGGGCGAAGAGCCGCGCTCTGATTGGTTACCGCCCGGCGAGGCGGGAAAAGCTCAGCCAATGGGAGGACGCGGCTGGGCGGAGGGGGCGGGGCCTGATCGTGAGGGGATGGGGGAATGGGGGTTTGGGGTCTTTTGGGGGAAATTGAGGAAAAGGGGGAAATGGGGGAAAAGGGGAAAAGGAGGAAAATGGGGGAAAAGGGGAAATGGGGCTCTGGGATCTCTTTGTGGAAAATGGGGAAATGGGGGCTTGGGGGTCTGGGGTCTCTTTGAGGGGAAATGGGGTCTCTTTGAGGGAAATGGGGGTCTAGGGTCTTTTTGAGGGGAAATTGGGGAAAAAGGGAAGGAGGAAAAAGGGGGAAAAGGGGGAAATGGGGTCTGGGGTCTCTTTGGGGGAAATAGGGGGAAAAGGGGGTCTGGGGGTGTCTGGGGTCTCTTTGAGGGAAATGGGGGAAAAGACAGGAAAATGGGAGGAAAGGGGGAAATGGGGGTCTGGGGGTCTCTTTAGGGGGCAATGGGGGTCTGGGGTCTCTTTGAGGGACAATGGGGGTCTGGGGTCTCTTTGAGGGCCCGGGAAGGGCTCTGGGGTCACCCTGGTTTGGGAGTGTCTCTTTGGGGACCCCCAAAATTAAATCTGTCTCTCCCCTCCCCCTCCTCCCCTCCCCTCCTTCCCTTCCTCCCCTTCCCATTGCCGGCCCCCATCCCGGTTTCCTGACCCGGCTCAGCCCTTCCTGCCCCCCCCCCTCCTCAGGAAACCGGGAATTCTCAGGGACAGGGACAGGGAAGGGGGACAGGGACACCACCCGAGGTAAGGGGTTGGTTTGGGGGTCCTGGGGAAATGAGGGGTTTGGGGGGCAATGAGGGGTTTTGGGGGTCCTGGGAGGGTAAAAGGGAGTTTGGGGGTCCTGGGGGAATGAGGGGGTTTTGGGGGTCCTGAGGGGTTGAGCGGTGGGATTTGGGGGTTTCAGGGGGTGTTAGGTGGGATTTGGGGGTTCCAGGGGGTGTTAGGTGGGATTTGGGGTTCCTGGGGGGGTTGATGGGTGGGATTTTGGGTTTCCTGGGGGGTTGAGGGGTGAGATTTGGGAGGTTTGGGGGGTTCTGGGTGGGATTTGGGGGTCCCAGGGTGTGTTTCTTCCCCCCCAGACCCCCAAGATGCTCCCCGAGGAGCGCAAGGAGGGCTCCCCCCGCTTTGGGAAGCTCCATTTCCCGGTGGGGCTCTGGATCAACTCCCCCAAAAAACGCCTGGCCAAGATGAGCCGGCGCTGGCCCAGCGCGGGTTCCGTCAGGTGGGACCCCCAAAATCCTCCCTGGACTCCCCAAAATCCCCTCCTGAATCCCCCCAAAATCCCCTCCTGAACCTCCCTCAAAATCCCCTCCTGGATCCCCTCCTTTATCCCCCCTTTATCCCCATTTTATCCCCCCAATCCCCCCTTTTCTCCCTCCCTTTCATCTCCCCTTGTCCCCCCTTTCTCCTCGTCTTTATCCCCCCCAATCCTGCCTTTTCTCACCCCCTTTTCTCCCTTTTTCTCCCCCCCTTTTCTCCTTTATCCCCAATCCCCTTTCTCCCCCTTCTCCCCCTTTCATCCCCCTTTCATCCCCCTTTCTCCCCCATTTCCCCCATTTCCCCCTTTATCCCCCTTTCCCCCTCTAATCCCCCTTTATTCCCCCAGATCCACCTCGTCGGACACCCCGAGCAGCCGCCCCGCCGACCCCAACCCCTCCGACCCCCACCCTGCACCCCCCAAATCCAAACCCGCCCGCCACAAGCGCCTGTCCCACCTCTTCCACCGCGCCACCAACGCCCCCCAGGGCCACCAAACCCCCTCCCAGGGCCACCACGACCCCCAAAACGCCCCCCTTTCCCCGCGCTGGGGCAGCGAGAAGAAGCTGCCCGAGCTGTTGGGGCCGCCCCGGGGACAAGGACAGGGACAAGGGCAGGGACAAGGGGGTGACCCCCAGGACCTGCCGTGCATCCTGAAGATCTTCGGGGGTGCCATCTGCCGCGGGGCCAACTACAAGAGCGTGCTGGCCACGCCGCGCTGCCGCGCCCGCGCCCTGGTGCGCGAGGCCCTCGAGCGCTACGGCCTCGACCCCAACGACGCCGCCCAGTTCGCCCTCTGCGACGTGGTGGGCAGGCCCGGGGGGCGGGGGCGGCCAGGGGGCTGGCAGGGCGAGCACCTGCGCGAGGTGGGCGACCTGGAGAGGCCCCTGGTGCTGCAGGAGCTCTGGAAGCCCAAGGCGGGCTGGTCGAGGCGCTTCGAGATCCGCCGCAGGGACGAGCTGGACAGGGGGGATGGAGATGAGGACAGCCCTGGTGAGTGAGGGGGTCTTACCCCCACCCTGGGTGCTGTTTGTGAGCCCCCCAAACACAGACCCCAATTAGTGACCCTCCTCAATCACAGACCCCCTGTTAGTGACCCCCAATCACAGACCCCCATTAGTGACCCCCCCAAACACAGAAACCCCCATTAGTGACCCCCCCGGACCCTGTTAGTGACCCCCCAAACAGGGCGGGGAGGGAATCCCCATGTGACACCCCCTCCCATTTCCCCAACCCCTGGGGGTTCAGGTGTTCTTCCCCCTCTCTGACCCCTCCCTTATCTCCCTGCCCAGGGGGTTCAGGTGTTCTCCCCCTCCTGACCCCTCCCTTTATCCCCCTGCCCAGGGGGGTTCAAGGTGTTCCCCCTCTCTGACCCCTCCCCATTTCCCCCCAGGGCTGCCCCCAGCGGCGGCTGCAGCGGAACCGTTCCCGGGCGGCCTCGGGGGTCCCGGCAGGCCCCGAGACCCCCGTGAAGGCCCCCGACCCGCGGGGGGTCCCAGGACCCCGGGGGGGCCGATGCGGCGCAGCATCAGCGACCTCAACCTGAGCACGCGGCGGCGCCAGCGCAAGGCCCTCAGCCTGGCGGGGGCGAGGGGAAGGAGCCCCCAGGACCCCCCAGGACCCCCACGGGGATGGGGACACCCCAGACCCCCAGGAGGAAGAAGGGGGGCCCAGCCTGGAGCTGCTGTCCCAGTGCCTGATCCGGCCCCCCCAGGACCGCCCCTATTTCCTGCTGCTGCAGGGGGGGGGCAAGGAGGTGAGGGAAAAGGGGGGGCCCCAAATTGATCCACCCCCTCAAAAACCCACCTTTTCTGGACCCCCAAAATGCCCCTTTGCCCACCCGTTCCTGATCCCCCCACACTTTTTGGGACCCCCTCCCCCCAAAAAAAAAACCCCACTACTTTATGTGCACCTCCCCAAATTGATTCCCCCCCTCAAAAAAGAAACCTTTCCTAGACCCCCAAAATGCCCCCTCCTCCCCCTCCCACTTTTTGTGACCCCCCATTGATTCCCCCAAAAAAACACCTTTCCACGACCCCCAAATCGATTCCCCCGCAAAAAAAAGCCTTTCCTGGACCCCCAAGTTGATCCATCCCCCCAAAAAACCGCCTTTCCTGGACCCCCAAAATGCCCCCTGGCCCCCACATTCTGACCCCTCAGTCCACCCAATTTTGGGATCTCCCTCCTTTATCTCCCCAACCCCTCTTTCCGCCCCCAAACCCTCTTTCTGCCCCCAAACCCCCTCTTTGCCACCCCTGACCCCCTTTTCCCTCTCCCCCCAGGATTTCGTCATCTACGTCATGACCCGCCCCCAGCACGTTTTCGGCCACCTCGAGCGCCGGGGGACCCCGAAAACGCCTCGGGGGTGGGGGCAACGTTGGGAACCCCCGAAGCCCCCAGAACGTGGGGGCGGATCTTGGGTGGTCGACACCTTCCTGAGCGCCCCCGACCTCCTCCCCCGCCACCTGGAGGTTCGGGTGACCCCCAGGCGAGACCCCCCAAAATGAGACCCCCACCCCCACGGCCACCGCCCGGCCCTTCCGGGGGCTTCGGCCACCCTGAACAGGACCCCCCTGGTCAGGAGAGCCCCCCTGAGCCCCGGGGACCTTCTGGGGCTGGGGGGGCACGTCCTGCTGCTCTACAGAGACCCCCGAGCCGAGACCCCGGGACCCCGCCCTGGCTGCCCCCCCCGCGCCCCTCCCCGGGCCTGGCGGGGGTCTTGGGGTGCCCCCGGTGCGGGAGGACCCCCCAGGAGAGGCAGGAGGCGCTCAGGGGGGCCCTGGAGACCCCCCGGGCCGAGCTGCGCTACCGCCCCAGGACGAGGACGCGCTGCTCAGGGACATCCTGCGGCTGCCCCCCGCGGGGGGGGACACCCAGGGGGACATTGAGGGGGGGGACATCGAGGGGGACACCCCCGGGGACGACCTCGGGGGTCTCGCCCCCGCCTTCCTGCTCGGGCTCTGCTTGGACCACGCGGCGAGGGAGTTCCCGGCGGGGCACCTGCCCGACCTGCTGGCCAGGGTGGCCACCATGCTGAGGGACACCGTCTGGGTGAGGGGCTGGGGGTCCCTGAGGGGTCCCTGAGGGGCTTCTGGGGGGTTTTGGGGTCTGGGGGCGTGGAGGGTCCAGGATGCTGCAGGAGACCATCTGGGTGAGTGGGGGTCCAGGGGGTGAGGGGGTCCCGGGGGCGTGGGGGAGTCCTGGGGGGCTGTAGGAGGAGACCATCTGGATGAGGGGGGTCCCAGAGGAGCATGGGGGGTCTGGAGGGGTCCTGGGGGCTGTGGGAGATCGTCTGGGTGAGGGGGATCCCGGGGGGTGGGAGGGGACACGGGGGAGATGGGACGTGGGGAGTGGGGGGTAATTTGGGGAGACATGGGGGGCACTCACGGGGGTCTCTCCTGGCAGGAGAAGATCAAGGAAATCGGGGATCGGCAGCCGGAGAGGTGAGAGACCCCCAACCCCCCCTGAGACCCCCAGTGACCCGCCCAGACCCCCAAACCCCCCAAGGGGGTCCCGGGGACCTGAAGCCCCTCCTACTCTGGTTGGGACCCCCAAACCCCCTCAGTGACTCCCCAAATCCCCTCAGTGACCCCCCAGAGCCCCCAAACCCCCCCGAGGGGGTGGTCCAGGGGGTCCCAGGGGACCTGAAGCCCCTCCTGCTCTGGTTGGCCAACGCTGTGGAGCTGCTCAACCTGGCCCAGGGCCACGTCCTGGAGCTGGAGAAGGAGCTGGAGATCGAAGGTGGGACCCCCAGACCCCTCTGACCCCCCAGACCCCTCCCCTGGGTTTGGGGGACCCCCCAAACCCCCCAAATTTGGCCCCCCCAGGGCCATGCCCGGAGCTGCAGAGGGACCTGGAGAGCTGTGACGAGGCCCTGGCCGTGCTGGACGAGGTGATCATGTCCACCTTCCAGCAGAGCGTCTACTACCTCACCAAGGTGGGCCCCAAAACACCCTGGGACACCCCAAAAACGGCCCTGGGACACCCCAAAAACCTCCCTGGGACACTAAAAATGGGGAACTAGTTTTTGGGGTCATTCAGGGGGGTTTTGGGGTGGTTTTGGGGTTTTTGGGTGGGTTTTGGGGGTTTTTGGGGTCGGGAAGCCCCCAAATAACGTCAATTTTGCCCCCCCAGAGCCTGTACTCGGCCCTGCCCGCCCTCCTGGACACCAACCCGTTTTTGGGGTGGTTTTTGGGGTGGTTTGGGGGGTTTCTGGGGGTTTTTTTTGGGGTTTTTGGGGTCAGGAAGCCCCCAGATAACCTCAATTTTGCCCCCCCAGAGCCTGTACTCGGCCCTGCCTGCCCTCCTGGACACCAACCCGTTTTTGGGGGGTCCTGGGGAGCAGCCCCGGGCGGGGCCCCCCGACCTGGGCTCGGTGCCCGAGGGGCTGAGACCCCCCCTGGCCGTTTTTGGGGGGGTCCTGGCCCTGACCCGGCGGGTGGGGCTGCACCCCGACCTCGTGTCCCAGACCTTCGGCTACCTCTTCTTCTTCTGCAACGCCTCCCTCTTCAACACCCTCATGGAGAGGTGGGGATTTGGGGATTTGGGGGGCTGGGGAGGGGGGGGTTGAGGTTTGGGGGTCCTGGGAAGGGGTTTGAGGGTCCCTGAGGTCCCTCTTCTTCTTCTGCAACACCTCCTCTTCAACACCCTCATGGAGAGAGGTGGGGGGATTTGGGGGCCCTGGGGGGTTTGGGGGATTAGGGGTCCCTGGGGGGCTGGGAGGGGGTTTGGGGATCCCTGGGAGGTTCTTCCAGTGGTGGGTGGGGATCAGGGACCCCCAAAAACCCAAAAACCCCCAACCTCCCCCAAACACCTCCTAACCCCCCAAACTTTATCTTCCAGTGGTGGGTGGGGGTCTGAGACCCCCCCTGACCCCAAATTTCCCCCCCCAGGAGGAGCAGGCCCGTTCTTCCAGTGGTGGGTGGGGGTCCGGGTCCGCACCAACCTGGACCTGGTTTTGGATGGTCTGGGGGCCCTCGGGCTGGGGGACATCGCGGGGGACTTCTTCAAAAAGCTCTCAGCGACGGCAAACCTGCTCTGCACCCCCAGGGGGACACTGGCCAAGGTGAGGGGACCTCGGGGACATCTTTGGGGGCTTTGGGGACATCCCTGGGGACACCTGGGGGGCGTTGGGGACATTGGGGACACCTGAGGACATTGGGGACAACCTGCTCTGCACCCCCAGGGGCACCCTGGGCAAGATGAGGGGACATCAATGTCCCCAATGTGTCCCCAATTGATGTCCCCAAATGTCCCCAATGTCCCCAATGTCCCCCCAGATGTCCTGGTCCCGTCTCCGTTCCGAGTTCCCGTCGCTGTCCCCGTCCCAGCTGCACCACCTGCTGTCCCATTACCAGCTGGGGCCCGGCAGGGCCCCCCCCCCGGGCTGGAACCCCCCCCCCGAGGAGCTCCAGGCGGCCACCACCGGTGGGTGACACCTCCCCCCTCATCCCCTGACCCCCGTGTCCTTCAGACCCTTCTGACCTCCCCAAAGCCCCCTGACCCCCTGTGACCCCCCAGAACCCCCTGACTCCCCAAACCCCCTGTGACCCCCCTGACCCCCATGTTCCCCCAGGTGACATTTTCGAGAGTTTCTCGGACCACCCCCTCCTGTTGCCCACCCGGGGGTTTCGCCTCCCGGAGCCCCTCGGGCCGGGGGGGCTCCTCAGGCCCCTCCTGCGGCTCCGGCGGCGCCTCTGGGAGCTCGAGGGGGTCCCGGCCAACCAGAGGGGGCTCAGCATCGATGGCACCCCCTGAGGGACCCCAAAAACCATCCTGGGACCCCCAAAATCCCCCAAAACCCCCTGGGATCACCTGCAGGAACAGCGACCCCCTGACCCCCCCAGCCAATGGGACCCCTCTGGGAGCTCGAGGGGGGGTCCCGGCCAACCAGAGGGGGCTCAGCATCGATGGCACCCCCTGAGACCCCCTAGGACCCCCAAAACCCCCTGGGACCCCCCCAAAACCTCCTGGGACCTCCCAGGAACCCCCAAATCTCCTGGGACCCCCAAACCTCCTGGGACCCTCCCAGGACCCCCAAAACCTCCTGGGACCCCCTGGGACCCCCAAACTTCCTGGGACTCCCCAAAACCTCCTGGGACCCCCACTCGGGACCCCCTCAAGGAGTTGGGGACCTCCAACCCCCCAGAATCTCCTGCAGGGAGGTGGAGGTCCCCAATTGGGGGTCTCTCTGTGTTTGTGTCGTCCCCCAAAATAAATGTCTGGTGATGACTCCGAGTGTATCCTGGGGGAATTTGTGGGTGGAATTTGGGGGTCCGGGGGAAACTGGGGGTCCTGGGGAGTTTGGAGCTTCCTGGGGATTTGGGGTCCTACTCCCAATAAACCTCCTTTATTTGGGGGTCAGAACTCCTTTATTTGGGGGTCAGAGCTCCTTTATTTGGGGGGTCAGGAGCTCCTTTATTTGGGGGGTCTCAGGAGCTCCTTTATTTGGGGGGCTCAGCTCCTCGTCCTTGGGGGCTCGTCGGCGCCAGGAGGCAGAACCTGAGGGGGAGGGGGCAAAGTGACCCCTTGAGACCCCTCAAAACACCCCAAAATCCCTCAAAAACCCCCAAACCCACCCCAAAGAAAAAAACCCCAAATACCCCCAAACGCCGCCCAAAACCCTCAACTCCCCAAAACCTCCCACCTCCCCAAAAGACCTCAAAATCCCCCAAACCCACCAAACCCCCAAAAACCCCAAACTCCCCAAAAACGCCCCCGCAAAGACCCCCCAAAAGCCCCCCTTTACCAGGCGCAGCCGATGACCCCTAGCGCTATCGCGACAGTCGTGACGGCGATGGCGGCGATGGCGCCAGGGGAGGGTCCCGGGGGCCCTGAGGGTCCTGGGGGACGTTCGGGACCCTCGCGCAGGGGCACGACTGGGGGGAGGGAGAGAGAGGTTATTTTGGGGAAAACCCAAATTTGGGGAGGGGGAGGGATTTGGGGAGAGGGTCCTGTGGGGAATTTGGGGAGGGGATTTTGGGGGTCCCAAAAATCCAGCACAACCCCCACACCCAGGGGTGTTTTGGGGGGTCCCTGGAGGGGCTGTGGGGATTTTGGGGTCTTCGGTCCCCGGGGATTTGGGGTGTTTTTGGGTGTATTTGGGGGGTTGGGGTCCTGGGGTATTTTGGGGGTTGGGGGTATTTTAGGGGTATTTTGGGGTGGTATTTTGGGGTTTTCGGGAGTCCCGGAGCGCACCGGTGACGTTGAAGCGCAGTTGGGAGCCCAGGCGGCCCCGGGGGGGGGTTTGGGGTATTTTAGGGTGTTTTAGGGGTATTTTGGGGTATTTGGGGTTATTTTGGGGGTTTTGGGGTGGTTTTTGGGGGTTTTTGGGGGTCCCGGAGCGCACCGGTGACGTTGAAGCGCAGTTGGGAGCCCAGGCGGCCCCGAGGGGTTTTTGGGGGGTATTTTAGGGTGTTTTAGGGGTATTTTGGGGTATTTAGGGTTGGTTTTGGGGGTTTTGGGGTGGTTTTGGGGGGTTTTTGGGGGTCCCGGAGCGCACCGGTGACGTTGAAGCGCAGTTGGGAGCCCAGGCGGCCCCAGGGTGTTTTAGGGGTATTTTTGGGGTATTTTGCGGTATTTAGGGTTGGTTTTGGGGTTTTTGGGGTGGTTTGGGGGTTTTGGGGGTCCCGGAGCCCACCGGTGACGTTGAAGCGCAGTTGGGAGCCCAGGCGGCCCCGGGGGTCCCTCATCTCGCACCGAAAGGGCCCCGCCACTCTCTTTGTCGCCTCCCTCCAGACCAGCACCGGGTCGGGGCCGCTCCGCAGCAGCTTCTCCGCGGGGGGCGGCCTGGGGGGCACAGGGGGGTCGCGAGGGGTCTGGGGGTTCTGGGGTTGGGAGGGTCGTGGGGAAGGAGGGTTGGGTGTTGGGGGCACGGGGGTCGTGGGGGGTTGTGAGGTCCCTCCCTGGGTTTGGGGGACGTGGGGGGTTTGGGGGTCGTGGGGGTTTAGGGAAGTGGGGGTGGCCTGGGGGCAGGGGGTGTCGTGGGGGTTTTGGGGGGCGTGGGGGGTTTGAGGGGGTTGGGGGTGGGGGTGCAGTTTGGGGTGGGTTTTGGGGCAGGGGGATATTTTGGGGTGTATTTGGGGGCAGGGGGATATTTTGGGGTGGGTTTTCGAACACGGGGATTTTTGGGATGGGTTTCGAGTCCGGGGTGGGTGGGTTGTTTTTTTGGGGGGCGTTTTACCCTATAAAAGCTGTAGGTTTTGTCACCGTGGGACGCCCCGTGCCAGGGCAGGGCACAGTCCAGGACCAGGTCCTGCCCCTCCTCCACCCACAGGCGCTTCTCTGGGGGGAGAGGGGGTGAGACCCCCAAATGGACCCCAAATGGACCCCCAAATGGACCCCAAACTGCCCCTCCCCAAATTCTAAAAGCCCCCTCGAGGACGCCCCCATCCCTTCAAAGACCCCCAAAACCCTCGAGGATCCTCCCAAAGACCCCCCGAGCTCCCTGGGACCCCAAACCCCTCGAGGACCCCCAAACCACCCCCAGGACCCCCCAAACCCTTCAAAGACCCCCCAACCCCTCGAGGACCCCCCGTGCCCCCCCAGTCCTGACCCCCGCAGTCCTCTCCGCGGTCGCAGATGAAGCGGGAGAGGTTGCACGAGGTGCACTCGATCCACAGCACCTCCATCCGCCCTGGGGGGCACGGGGGTCACGACCCCCAAAATACCCCCGACCCCCAAATATCCCTGACCCCCAAAATATCCTGACCCCTAAAATACACCCTGACCCTCCCTCATTGCCTCCCCACAGAACCTCCATCCGCCCTGGGGGCACGGAGGATCACGACCCCAAAAATAACCCTGACCACCCCCGACCCACCCCGACCCGCCCATCCCATCCCCGACCCCCCAAAATACTCCCCAAATACCTCCTGACCCCTCAAAATATCCCCTGAACCCCCAAATACCCTCCCAAGACCTCCCAAAATACCTCCCAAAATACCCCCAAAATACTCCCAAAGACCCCCTAAAATACCCCCTGACCCCCAAAATACTCCTGAAGACCCCCAAAGACCTCCCCAAAATACTCCCCTGACCCCCTAAAATACTCCTCTGATCCCCCCAAAGACCTCCTCAAAAATACTCCCCAAATACCCCTCTGACTCCTCCAAATACCCCCTAAAATGCCTCCTGACCCCCAAAATACCCCTGACCTCCCTCGCCCCTCTCCCACTCACCGCAGGTGTTGGGGCAATAAACTGCGGACAGAGGGGGAGGGGTCACCATTTGGGGGTCAGAATGGGGGAGGGGTCACCATTTGGGGGTCAGAATGGGGGAGGGGTCACAATTTGGGGGCTGGGGGATTTAAGGGGAGGGGTCAAATGGAGGGGTTAAATTGGGGGTCTGGGGGTTAAAGGGGAGGGGTTAAAATGGGGAGGGGTTTAAAGTGGGGGTCCTGGGGTCCCTGGGGTTTGGGGGTGTCCTGGGGGTTCGGGGTCCTGGGGTTCGGGGGTCCCACCCTGGCTCTGGGTTTGAAGGGGAGGGGTTAAAAGGAGAGGGGTAAAAGGGGGTTTAAAGAGGAGGGGTCCTGGGGGTCCCCGGGATTTGGGGGTCCTGGGGTCCGGGGGTCCCTGGGGTTTGGGGGTCCCACCCTGGCTCTGGAATGGGGGTTAAAGGGGGAGTCCTGGGGTTTTGGGGTCTGGGGGTCCCCGACTTTGGGGGTCCGAGGGAGTTTAGGGGGTCTCTGGGGATTTGGGGGTCTCGGGGATTTGGGGGTCCGGGGTCCCACCCTGGCTCTGAAGGCCCTCATGAGGCGCTCGAAGTCGTCCTTGATCTCCTGCAGCGCCCAGAGCAGCTCTGTTGAACGCCTGCCTCGTCTGGGGGCACAAAAGGGGGTTGGGGGTTTTTTGGGGGGTTTGGGGTCCCGATTTTTTAGGGGCTTTTGGGATGTTTTTGGGGTCCCAGGGTTGTTTTGGGGTCTCGGGGTGTTTTTGGGTCCCGATTTTTTTTTGGAGGGGTTGGGGTATTTTTGGAGTCTCGGGGGTGTTTTTGGGTCCCGGGTTTTTTGGGGGTCCTGGGTGTTTTTGGGGTCCTGGGGTTGTTTTTGGGTCCTGGGGGTGTTTTTGGGTCCCGGGTTTTTGGGTCCCGTTTTTTGGGAGGGGGTTGGGGATGGTTTTGGGGGGTTTTTTTTGGGTGTTTTTGGGGTGTTTTGGGATGGTTTGGGGTGTTTTTGGGTTGCCCGGGGGGTGTTTTTGGGGTCACCTTTGATGTCCTGGGACATGACCCGTATCAGCACGTGCCGGAACTGCTCCGACGCCTTGTCCAGGGTGGGCTGGTCTGGGGGCGCGGGGGTCACGGAAGGCATGGGGGTCACGGGGGTTGGAGTCCCAGGGAGGGTTTTGGGGTCCTGGGAAATGTTTGGAATCTTGGGGAGGGCTTGGGGGTCTCTGGGGTCCTGGGGTCCTTGCTCACTGATGACCCCCATGAAGGTTTTGGGGTCCCAGGGGGGTTTGGGATCTCAGGAAAGGTTTTGGGGTCCCGGGGAGGGTTTTGGTGTCCCGGGGGTGATTTGTGGGTCTCAGAGGGGGGTCCCTCGCTCACCGATGACCCCCATGAAGGTTTTGGGGTCCCAGGGCGGTTTGGGATCTCAGGGAGGGTTTTGGGGTCCCGGGGGTGATTTGGGGGTCTCAGAGGGGGGTCCCTCGCTCACCAATGACCCCCATGAAGGTTTTGGGGTCCCGGGGGAGCCGGGAGAGGGTTTGGGGTCCCGGGGAGGGTTTTGGGGTCCCGGGTGGAATTTGGGGGATCCCGTCGGGGGTCTCAATGCTGACCTATGACCCCCATGAAGGTTTTGGGGTCCCGGGGGAGCCGGGAGAGCTCCAGGACCCCCCTGAGCACGAGGGGCACGAGGCGGTTCCTGAGCTCGTCATTTGGGACCACCCGGAGCAGGAACGGCCCCAAAAGCTCGGCCATGGTCGAGGCGGCCGCGGGGTCGCAAACGACGCACCCCGAGACCCCCCCGAAACCCCCCCGGGAACCTCCTCCGGCCCAAAAAATGAGCCCCCCGAGTGCCCAGAGCAGCAGCGGCCGCGGCATCCCCGAGATGGGTTTTTTTTGGGAGGGTTGGGGGGGGTTGAGGGGGGTAACGGTCACCCCTCCCCCCCGTAACGGTGATTTTGGGGGGTTGGTGGCACTGGAGGGGGGGGTTGAGGTCACTGGGGGCTCTGAGAGGGGTCTTGGGGTCCTGGGAGGGATTTGGGGGAATTTGAGGGTTTTTTGGGGGAATTTGGGCGGTACTGGGGGTGGCAGTGGGAGGCTCTGGGGGATGCTGGGTGGGGTCTATGGGGGTCCTGGGGGGCTCTGGGAGGGGTTTTGGGGGTCCTGGGGGTTTTGGGGGCCCTGGGGGTTTTGGGGGGTCTTGGGGGGTCCTGGGCGGCTCCGGGAAGGGGTTTTGGGGTCACTGGGGAGGTTTTGGGGGATCCTGGGGGGCTCTAAGAAGGGTCCTGGGGGTCTCTGGGAGGGGTTTTGGGGATCCTGGGGGTCCCCGTGACGTCACACCCACACCGTGACGTCACCACCGCTCCCACCCCCGGGCGAGGGCGGGAGATGACGCCCAAATTCCGGGGTGCCCTGAAACCTGTGTCCCCTGAGGCGGGGGTGACACCCAGGGGTGACACCCGAATTCCTGGGTGTCCCGGGACACCTGTGCCCCCCGGGTGAGGACAGAGGGGACACCCAGGGGTGACACCCGAATTCCAGGGTGTCCCGGGACACCTGTGCCCCCCAGGTGAGGACAGAGGGGACACCCAGGGGTGACACCCGAATTCCTGGGTGTCCCGGGACAATTGTGCCCCCCGGGTGAGGACAGAGGGGACACCCTGGGGTATCCCGGTGCCCCCGGGCAGGGCGGGGGTGGCCCCGGGAGCCGCTGGAGCCGAAGGGCCCCGCCCGGGCGATGCCCGAGGGGGCGGGAGGGGTTGGGGGGGCGGGCTCTGTGTCCCCCCCCGTGGGACCGGCCCTGGGGAGGGCGGAGGTGCCACTCGCGGGTCCGTCCCGTGCCCGCGGCGGGGGCGGCACAGGCAGAACCCGACCGGGACAGGTGAGGGGGGACAGGGGGGCTGGGACCCCCCGGGGTGGGCAGGGGACCCCAAAAACAGAGGGGCTGGGACCCCCCGGGGTGGGCAGGGGACCCCAAAAACAAGGGGGCTGCAACGGATGGACAGGACACCCCAAAACCAGAGGGGCTGGGACACCCCAGGGTGGGCAGGGGGTCCCCAGGGGGCCGGACCTTCCCCACCTGCCCCCACCCCCAAAAGGAAGCCAGAGCTGTCGGGGGGTCCCCGCCCCGGGCCGCGGCTGCTTTGGGTGTGTGGGGGATGTTATTGTAGGGTCTCCCCGGGGTCTGCGTTGTTCCAGAGCCTCCCCCCGCCGTGGCGGACACGGGGGACAGGGGCGGCTCAGTCCCCCCAGGATGGCACAGGTGAGGGGGGGGACCCCGAGGGGTGGGGAGGGGGGAACACGGGGAAAGGGGGGGACACAGGGATGGGGGGACCCTCAGGGGATGGGGGACCCCCCAGGAGTGGGGACACAGAGATGGGGGGGACACAGGGATGGGGGGACCCTCAGGGGATGGGGGCCCCAGGTTATGGGGTTGGATCCCAGGTGGGGGGACACAGGGATGGGGGAGACCCCCCAGGTGATGGGTGACCCTCTGGTACCCCGGGGGAGCCCTGACCCCAATTTGGGGGTCCCAGGGGGTGGAGGAGGGGGGGATTCCAAGCATTTGGGGTCTCCTCCGCCGTCCTCCCTTGGCCGGAGCCCCTCCGCCCTCTCGGGGCCCCCTGGCTCCCTGCCAGCCCCGGGCTGGAATTGGGACACAGGGCGGGGACAGCGAAACGGGGCCCTGGGCGCCCCTCCCCACCCCGTGGGAACCGGTCCATCCCTCCTGACCCCTCGGACCCCCTCGGGGACCCAGGAGTGACCTCCCACCCTCCCAAGGTTTGAGCCCCCTGCCCACCCTGGGAGGGACTGCCGGGGGTCCCGGGACCACCCCCCCCAGGCACCTGGGACCCCCCAGATTTTGGCCCCCTGTGGACCCCTGGGAACACCCAAATCCCTGGGACCCCCCAACACCTGGGAGTCCCCAGATTCCTGACACCTCCCAAAACCCTGGGACCCCCCTGGACTTTGGGACCCCCCAGATTTTGGTTCCCTCCCCAACGTCCCCCCATCCTTCCCCAGCACCGGCAGGACCTGGAGGAGGAGCTGCGGGACCTCAGCAACCAGGTGGGAGGGGCTTGGGACTGCCAATCACACCGGTGGGAGGGGCTTGGGACTGCCAATCACACCGGTGGGAGGGGCTTGGGACTGCCAATCACACCGGTGGGAGGGGCTTGGGACTGTCAATCACATTGGTGGGAGGGGCTTGGGACTGTCAATCACATCAGTAGGAGGGGCTTAGGACTGTCAATCACATTGGTAGGAGGGGCTTGGGACTGTCAATCACATCGTGGGAGGGGCTTGGGACTGTCAATCACATTGGTGGGAGGGGCTTGGGACTGTCAATCACATCGTGGGAGGGGCTTGAGTCTGTCAATCACATCGTGGGAGGGGCTTGGGTCTGTCAATCACCCCGATGGGTGTGAGCATTGAACTGTCAATCACCCTGGGGGAGGGACAATGGGCTGTCCATCACCCAGATAGGGGCGTGGCCTGTCCCACGTGAACTGTCAATCATGACCTTCCCCAATCAGGTGGCGGTGCTGGGGCGGAGCCTGGCGGCCGAGAGGGGGCGTGGCCTGGCAGAGGGTGGGGCCCTGCGTGCGCTGGAGATCGCGGTGGGCGGGGCCCAGGCCCGGATGGGCGGGGCCTGCAGGGCCAGGGATCGGGCCAATGAGAGGCTGCGGCTGCAGCAGGTGAGCAGGGACGGGCAGGGGGCGGGGCCTACAACAGGTGTGGCTGGGGGTGGGGCTAAAAGGGCATGGCCTGGGGGTTGCTCGTGAAATGGGGTGGGACTCAGAAAAGTAGGTGGGGCTTTATGCAAGGTGGGTGTGCCCAGGGGGTGGAGCCTCTGGAAGGGCGTGGCTGAATTAGGGCTAAATGGGCTGGGCCTGGGAGGGGAGGAGCCTCTGAGAGGGCAGGGGCGTGGCTGTGGCCGGGCTAAAAGGGGAGTGGTCAGATGGAGGGTGGCCTATCCCTGACCTGGCCCCACCTGCAGGAGGCGGGGCAGCTGCTGTGGGCGGAGCTCCAGGCTGCCCGCACTGCCCTGGCAGGGGCGGAGCTTCGGGCACAGGAGGCGGAGTCAAAGTGCCAGGAACGGGGCCTGGAGCTGCAGCGGCTGAGAGAGGTGGGCGGGGCCAAGGGGAAAGGGTGGGGCCAATGATAAATGGGGTGGGGCTGTTACAGTCAGGGGTGGGGCTAATGGCCAAGGGGTGGGGCTAAAGGGCAGTGGGGCGTGGTTAAGGTCCAAGGGGTGGGGCTATAGACCAAGGAGTGGGTGGAGCTATGGACAAATGGGTGGGGCTAAATGGCAAAGGGGCAGGGCTAAAGGGCAGTGGGGCATGGCTAAGGCCCAATGGGTGGGGCTATGGACCAGGGGGTGGGGCTAAGGCCCAATGGGTGGGGCTAAGGACCAATGGGCGGGGCTGTACCAGCCTGTGGGCACTGCTATGGGGTGGTGGGCGTGTCCCCGGTGGGCACCCCATGCCAGAACCCCCCCAGGCCGTGGAGGAGGCGCGGCAGTGCCGGCACCTGGCGGAGCAGGAGCGGGACCGAGTGGCGGCTCAGGTGGGACACGGCCCCCGGCACAGGTGAGCGAGAACACGCCCCTCCCTGGACACACCCCTTCCCTGGACACGCCCACTGTGTGTCCCCTACAGCCCCTCCATGTGTCCCTTCCAGCCCCCAATGTGCCCCCCCATCCCCCATCCATCCCCTATATCCCCCCACACCCCCCTGTGTGTACCTCCCACAGCCTCCCCCCCGCTGACCCCGGGGGGCTGCAGGCAGCGCTGGAGGAGCTGCGGGAGCACAACCAGGGCCTGCGGGACCACCTGGGACAGCGGCTGGGACAGGTGGGCACCTGTGGGGCACCTGTGGGGACATGGGGGGGGCTATGAGGGGATATGGGATGTGGGGATATGGGATATGGGGGATATGGGATGTGGGGATATGGGATATGGGATGTGGGGGATATGGGGGATATGGGATATGGGGGATATGGGATGTGGGATATGGGGGATATGGGGGATATGGGATGTGGGGATATGGGATATGGGATATGGGATATGTGGGTGCTGAGCTCACCCGAGGGTGCCCTGTTCTCACCTGTGCCCCCCATCTCACCTGCCCAGGTGCAGGAGCTGCGCCAGGAGCTGTCCCTCGTGGGGCAGCGGGCGAGGGAGGCCCAGGACGCCCAGGCCCGGCTGGCGCGGGAGCAGCGGGAGCTGCGGGAGAGACTCCTGCGGCCGCCGGTGCCCCCCGCGCCCCCCGAGGCCACCCTGAGGAGCCGCTGCCTCCACCTGCAGGAGCTGCTGCGCAGGGAGGAGGGGTGAGGGGGGCTCGGGGGACACCCACATGGCCTCAGGGTGTCTCCAAAGTGGGTTTGGGTGGTCCTGGGTGGTCCCAGGGGGGTCCCCGGGCAGTCCCAGGGTGAGCGTCCCTGGCTCTGGCTCTGGGGGTGGCACTGCGTGACATTCGGTGTCCCTGCGTGTCCCCAGCACCCGCCTGTCCCTGCTGCGGGCCGCGCGTGTCGCCAGCCGGCGCCTGCGTGCTCTGGTGGCTGAGGTGGAGGAGCAGCGGTTGCGGGGAGAGAGATACCGTCTGCAGGTGGGGTCACCTGGCACCTGTGTCACCTGTGTCACCTGTGTCGTCACCTGTGTCACCTGGGGCACTCCCTGTCACCCCGTGACCTCACAGCCTCTGTGCCCACCCCTGTCCTCCCTGTTCCTGAGTGTCCCCATGTCCCCAGTGTCCCCATGTCCTGTCCCTCGGTGTCCCCCCGTGCCCCCAGGTCCTGTGTCACTGCATCCCCACATCCCGACGCCAAATGCCACCACATCCCCTCGTCCCCGCACCCCCCATCCCCGTGTCCCCAGACTGTCTCCGTGTCCCACTGTCCCCAATGCCTCCGAGGCCCCCGATGTCCCCAGCGATGTCCCTGTGTCCCCAGGCCGCGTGCCAGCGAGGTGGCAGCGGGGCTGGTGGCGGCGCAGGTGGCGGCGGTGGCGGCGGGCACAGCGCGGGTGCTGGCCCAGGGCCACGTCCTGCGCCGGCAGCTCGACCACGTCGGCGACGGCGCCGCAGCCACGGCGCGGAGCGTGGCCGTGCTCAGGGCCCGGCTCAGGTAGGGACACACGGACCCTGTGGGCCCCTACGGACACCCATGGGCCCCTATAGACACCCATGGGCCCCTATAGACACCCATGGGCCCCTATGGACACCCATGGGTCCCTATGGACACCCATGGGCCCCTACGGACACCCATAGCCCCCTGTAGACATCCATAGCCCTCTATAGACACCCATAGCCCCCTATAGACACCCATAGCCCCCTATGGACACCCATGGGCCCCTATAGACACCCGTGAACACTGGGGGGGAGCTTAGAGACTCTGTGGATACCTTGGGGGTCTGTGGGGTTATGGGGGGTCTATGGGGGACTATGGGATGGGGAGCTCAGGGGGCTCTAAGGGGGGTTATGGGATATTGGGGGTCTCTGTGGGGTTATGGGGGGTCTATGAGGGGTGATGGGAAGTTGGGGGGCTCTGTAGGGTTTATGGGGGCTCCATAGGGGTTACAGGATATTGTCTGCCTGACCTGGGGGTCTCTATGGGGGTTTATGGGGGTTTTGGGGGATTTGGGGGACTCGGGGAGGTTCTGGTAGTCGGGAGGGTCTCCAGGACGGGGGGTGTCACTCCCCACCCCTCTCTCCCCCCAGGTGTGACCCCCTGACCGTGTCCCACACGGTGCGGCGGATGCTGCGGGGGGTGACAGCGACGACAGCGGGGACAGCGGCGACAGCGGCGACAGCGACACCTCCCCCGCCACCCCCGGCACACCCCCGCACACCCCTGGGCCCTGGGAGGGCTCGGACCTGCCCCAGCCTCTGTGGAGCCCCTCAACCTCCCCTTGAAAACCCTCGAATCCCACCTTGACCCCTCTTTAAACCTCCCTGCTTGACCCCCTTTATCCCCCCTGAAAGACCCTCCTTGACCTCCCCCTTGATCCCCTCTTGAACCTCCCTTGACCCCTCCCATAACCCCCCCTCAAGGGGACCCCAAAAGCTGCTCCAGAGCACCTGCCCTTGATTTTTTTTTTGGAGAGGTGTCCCCAAATTCATTAAAGTGCCTTCACGGGGGTCTCGGTCCTGAGTGGGAGTCGAGTCGTGGGGGAGAGGGGCTTGAAGTACCTCAAAAGCCACGGGGGAAGGGGGACGGACCCCAAAATCTTCTTTAGCCCAATCGGGGGTTAAATCCCCTCCCAACCCCCTCCTCCCCAAAACCAGCTGGGGAGACCCCAAACACTCCCAGCGCCCCCCAAGACTGCTCAGATTCCCCCAAAGCCCCCAAAACCCCGCAAAACCCGCAAGAGGGGCGTGGCCTGAGTGGCTAATAAGCATAGAGGGGCGTGGCCCGCATGGCTAATGAGGTGGGAAGGGCGTGGCGTATATGCTAATAGAGCGGGGGTTGCGTCCCAGCTGTCCAATCAAAACGCGGTATGCAAACGAAGACACGAGGGGGCCGCGACTCGTTG